AAAGTAACTAATTTATTCACTAAAAAACACTGAACTATTTTATGTGATTTATTTCTCTAGATGCAAAAACTTTAAACTGTTTATCGAATTTAAACGGAAATTCTTCACTTGAATAACTGCTGAAATATTTCTAGCTAATTGCCGAATAAAGAATGATAGTTTTGTTTTTAAGTTCAAGAATTTAAAGAGCCGATTGCTCAGAAGGGAAATAAGTAAACCCAATTAAATACTCAAGAGGAAACATTATAAGACATGTTTCAGAGTTGCTTTATTTCCCTTTACTAATCTTAAATATCATAATCATTCAACAGTTTAGAAAAATTTGAATTCTACATTGCTAAAAAGCGAATCTGAAGATCATGGTCTAAAACGAAATAAAGTTAGATCCGTTTGAACTCACATCTATCTATTTGTTTTTCGAAGCCTTTGGTAAAAACTAAAGATTTAGGTCGCTTTCTTGAAACTTTATCATGATTTAAATGTACAACATTTTAGATATGATGAGACTTTGTGATATCTGTCCTAATTTTAAAGCTAAGTACCCTGATCCTGGTGTATCAAATACATATTGGTGAAAGAGATACACGATCGTAACAGTTATAGTTACAAAGAAATAGATCGTTGGCTGTAGCTACATAGAAAATTTTATCGAGTAAATAATCAGAGAACGTTACGAGAATACATAAAATAAATACTTTAATGGGGACGCCATATCTAATTTAGATTGATGACGAACTTCTCGAAATCTAAATTATTACATCATCTATTTTATATGTCAATTCAAGCTTGACGTTAGGTTATTTATTATTCAATGCTGTTTCCAAATCTGAACATATATAATTATAATAAATTAAATCGTCGACTTTGAAATTAATGGATTTTGTTTCCTTGAGCCAGTTTCCCTTAGAAACTCCTCTACGAAGGTATTCCCCCCCCCTTTAGGCAGATAACTCTGGAGTGCTTTGCCATTAATAAACAAGCCAAATATCAGAAATGGGTATTAAGTTGCAAAAGTTCAGTTTGACTTTTGCATGAAATTTCTTGAGCTCATAAGCTATTAAAAAATAAGAAATCTCAGATCAGAATTTGAAATCGTGTTATTCATTCTGTAACTTTACTTATCTAGCTAAATGCTAAAAGTGCTTTAAAAAATTGAGATAAGAAAATTTGTTAGAAAACTTTGAATTTCTCAAAACCAAAATAATATTTTTGATGAGTTTAGTTACATTCAAAACTTACTTAGTATAATTTACATTCAAAACGTTTTTAGCAATGATTAGAAAAGTGTTATTTGTACCACATCCCGTCCCGAGCTAGGAAGGAAGATTGGCCGAACAATAAACTTGCATAAGCTAGTGATCTATTACGAAGAAATTATCTTGGTTAGATCTTTTTGGGCAAATGTAGAAAAGGAATACGTAAATGAGATCTGAGTAAAGAAAGATTTTAAAAATTAGTTAAAAACAAATAAATTCTAAGTACGCAAATTTTTCTCCTAAGTTACATTTATCTGTATTATTATTAATTAACTATTAATTTGTAAGTCACTTTTAATGAAAGTACTAGTTTTCATTAAAAGTTTAAAACTAGTTTTTATGTCTTAAAATCATTACGTTTAGAATTAAAATACCCAAAATGGCAGCGCTCACGATAAATAAGATGATATTAGCCTAATGATAGTATAGTTATTTTCCTCGGCCACTCCTTATATTTCACACCAAAAAGAATGAAAATTGTACAGAGCCCTTCCTACCCACTGCTTTCTTAACTGACGCCAGACTAACAGAGAATAAACACTAAGCCATTGTAATCCCTTGTAGATGTAATCTGACTCAGACAAACGTGGGAGAACAAGTAGTTGTGTTAGCAGCGATTTTTGTAGTAATTGCAATTAAAACGTTCAAGAACGTATTCAAGAATATAAAATACATGAAAATATTTAACTTCCGATATGATGATTGCACGGAAATTATATCTGCCATCTATTATGTAAAGATAGTTAAAATGTACTTTGCTGTTTAAAAAAAATGAAGTAAGAGGTTTCAAAATCCATTAAAAATATGTCCGACATAGCATCGTACTTTTAGCATCGATATAACATCACATTTTAAAATAAATAAAAATTTTAAAATTGAAACTTTATTATTTTAATCTTTATGTCATATCGAAAAGTTGAATTCAAAACAGCAGTGCGAACAGTGCGATACACTCATATGAACAGTGCGTTTGAGCCACCAGGCGGAATGTCTACAACCTTATAAAAATTCCTCTGTATAGTTAATTATTGAAGAATTGATATTTAGGAAAATTTAAAATTAATAATCGGAGTGAGATCCAACGGTTAGAGCGAAGCGAATCTAAATTGGATTATTTAAACTTTATAGAAGATTTTAAGGGAAATTGGGCCCGAATCATGTTACACATGAATAAAACATTGAAAACTTCGTGCAGTTAATCTTTCGGATTCTAAGAAAATTCGAACATAGTATGATTTCTAATATTAATATGCTATTAGAACATAGCATATTTAGATATTTAGAGTGCGCTCTTTCCGCACAGATACTATACATTAACAAACATCCATGCCTTCTCCGGGATTCGAATCCGGGCCCTTCGTTACGGCAGTCAGCTTCGCTAACCACTATCCCGGCTGGACGGCACATTATAAATTTAAATTCCGAAGTGAGAGAAAGTAATAACAAAGAAGGAAAATTAACAATCTTTCCTAGATGCTACAAGAATACGGTGCGATTCGGGTATTGTATTCTGAAATTTAGTACTAGGAAATCATTTGACTACATACAGCACAAATAAAAGCATTACTCTTAGCCTGCCAACAACTGCAACGCTCAAGTGGCAGTTTAAATTAACTGAATTATGAAACTCCAACTAACCGGCTTTCAGACTAATAGAAAGTTATTGCTGAAAGAAATCTGAATTACAGGCAGGTAAGGATGATATTATACTAGAGCAATTGTACATCTTATGAAATTTATGTCTGGAAGTAAAGTCGCTATTACTAAAGGGGAAAGTGAAGCTAAAACTACTACATAAAAATATAACACAGTTTGCTTTTCATTATTTAATTAACTATTGAGTTATTCTCCTCTTTCTCCAAAATGTAATCTAAACAACAATGTATGCAATCGTCAACGAAGAAAAATATTATCGTTGATGTCCTTTTCCTCCAACATTTTGGGATAAGGAGTAGAGAAAAAAAACTGATGCGTAAACATGTAATTTTTTAAGTCAATAAACATATTTAATTAATATCGAAGTAATTAAGACAATTAGTGCAATATTACTACATAAAAAAGAATGCAATGTTGTTTACAACATATACTTGTAGTACTTCATATTAAATAACTTTTTATCGTTTCAGTTTATAAAGTAGTTGAAATTATAGCAAAAATAGGTGAGATTTGACTTATTTGAGTGCATCTTTTTCTCAATGGCTTGGGGAGATTTCACTTGTCCTTAATGAGCCATCACATCAAAATATCATCAAACTTTCCAACAAAGGACTTAAATTTATAAAAACTTTTTTTTTTTTTTTTTTTTTTTTTTTTTTGGCAGCTGTTTGCTACGTAACAGCTTATCTAACCTTTGCAGAACAAAATTTTAAAATTTTTCATTCCTGTTCCTTCCTGGCTTTATCTCTTTCTACTTTTAAAAGGCTGTAAAATGCTAATCAACCAAAAATGCCGTCAGGTTTTCTTTCATCATTAGAGAGTTCTTTTGTGGTAAATAAATAAGTAAGAGGGAAAAAAATCTTTCCTTTGAGCGTATGACTAATGTATAAAAAAGACAAGCCAGATGAAGGCAAAACGAAAGTTGTAGAGACATTAGGATTTTTTGGAAGCAGGAGACTTGAAAAATGAGTAACACATTGGTCGGGAATAGAATCACGGACCTCTGGAATACGCGCCCAGAAAGCAGACCACTACACCACGAAGGCACGGTAAAAAGGAGGAAGAAATACCTTATATACTTCCCCTTTTAAAGGACGACTGGGGTTTAGAGGACTCAATCATCAAATCCTGGGTGTGAAGAATCATCATCGTTCGGGAGACACTGTAGAGACATTAGAATTTTTTGGAAACAGGAGACTTGAAAAATGAGCCATTAACAGTCAAAGGAGGTACGGCTAAACTCTTTGAAAAGGTACTACCTGTTTTCCACAGATTTGTCAGTTCTCATTGATAACTTTACCCATGATTAAGTTAATGATTAAGTTAACCCAATGCAATAAGCAGTTGAATTACTAGTGAGTCATCATCAGTAATGTACTTTGTAGTTTGCACTTGAATAAAATATTCGAAATGCATATTTTGTTAATGCAAGTGCTTTCAGGTCTTAGAATTATTGAGATAATGAAATTAAAGCGCAGTAAAGTTTCCACTCTGAACTAGGTTAATGGAATACATTTTATAAATAAATTACGTTGCAAAATGTTTTCACAAATATTTAATAATTTCTTTTAAATCTTAAACAATGAAAAAAGTAATATGTAGACTTTTTCTCTGCAGAAATTAATAGATTTTGATCAGCTTTAAAGAAGTAAAATCGATGGTCGTTTTCATTTCCATAGCATGAAACTTTGGATAACAATTTTTAATTTTTTGATAAACTCGCAACTTTTAAATATAATAAAAACTTTAAAATATCTAAAAAGGTATAAGTAAACGTTTAAAATATAATCAAAATGCCTATATTTCACACAGATGATTTAGAAAAGTACAAATTTTTCATCAGTATTTAGAAAAAAAAATTATTTTGCTTAAAAGTCTGTAAAGCAGAATTCTTAATTAAATCATAAAAAGAACTTTCAAAATTAACTCGTTTCTCGGATGTTTTGATGAACTGTAAATATGTTATTGTGATCTATGGCATGGTAAAAAGGAGGTAAAAAGTATTCGAAATATGATATTTAGTCCCTAAAAAATTGTGTTTTAAAACTAATACCAAAAGTCTAATTTTTACTTTAAAAAAAAACTCACCTCTTGATAATCCTCCATTATTCCTAATAATTTAAGAATCCTATGAAGACAATAAAATCAGTATTATCCAAAATTGCACATCCCCGATTTTGTATCTAATCTAATGTAACATCCATAAACTACACTGGAAAACACACAAACAATCGTTCTACGCTTTGCATCTACAGTCTTCATGTTGAACCTGGAAAAAAATATTCAATTAAGAATTTTTTTTTTTGAAAAATATATATTTTTATTTATACTACATTGAGATTAAAATAAATATAATATGTTTCTCAAAACAAAAGTTATCGGTTACAAATATTATAAATACAATCTTCACAACAACAATTTCTGCGAATAAAAAAAATATTTCGTTAGTGCTTATGACAACCTAGTTTACTGTTCAGAATGTGTGTTATTAATTTTAAATGCTATATAATATCAGAATGCAATGTAAGTCTTCTATATGCTTCAGAAATGAGCGATCATTCGATCATTCTTATCCATAGAAATATTCAAAGAATCTAAAGCAATATTATTTTTCTAAGAAAGGGCATAGGCGTCATAGATTATCAACTCAGAAATATTACGCACATTCTATCTTATCGAAACTCTGCATAAATTCTTATGTAAATTTATTAAAATTAAGAAAACTCTTCAAATCTTATGAGCTATTTGTATCGCTGATTGAATAATCATAAAATCTTTTATATTATATTCGTACTAAGCGGAAAAAAAAAACTTTGATATGTTCTACTTTCATTTTCAAACATTGTTCACGGCTCTCTTTTTTCAGTCCTTTTTTTCTGCTTTGTAAAAGTCTGAATGACGATAAAGTTTATAAAATAATGTCCGTCATCAGATTCATTATTTTTAATAAACCATTATGTCCTTTAATATGTTTAAAAATTCATCTTTATAGAACCAATTTTCTCATTACTTCATTAAATTTTTATAACTTGTTATACCAATTAGAAACTAAAGAATTACGGTAGTCAGCTGAACCTAAAACTATTCATCTAAATAGACTATCGCGCTAACTGGTTAACACCAAACGGGATATGAAGTTTTCTATTTTATGTTATATGTGTATGTGTGTCTATTAAGAGGATCATAATGAATCCTTTGTTGATTGTTAGTTTCAAATGCTGGCAAATGGGCTGCTTGCATTAGCTTTTTGTAGTTTCTCAACCTCTAACGTGAATGCTAGCCAGTTTTCTTTACAAAAGCATCCATGAAGGTATCCGTTTAAGCAAGTAGGCTTTGTATGTTTTATCAGATTAAACAAACTATACTGACTGAATTCGTAACGAAACTGCATTTAGACCGCTACGAGTTGCTTTCCCACCCATTCGATTCTCACAGCCATACCAAAGGGCCCGTGTTCGAATCCTGGAGAAGGCACGAATGTTTGAAAATTTATAATGTCTGTGCGGTATGGGGACACTCTAATTATGCGACGAGCCGCTCTCGAGAAGTTGTGGTAGGGGAAGAGGGTGGGAGATCTCTTTTCCTGAGACCTCTTCCCTCTTCCTGATCGTCCCCCTGAGGAGCTCTCTTTCGAAATTGCAAGCCTTGTTCTTCAGCAAATAATGTAACCCGACACCTACCATTTACTAATTTAATGCTAAAGTGCTACACCACCAAGAAACATGGAAGAAATGCCTTTAATATAAGAAAGGTAATTTCATCAAATTTTTAACTGTATTAATACTATTAAATGAGCCGAGGTTATTTTGAAGGCTATCATTTTAAAATACAGAAAGTGTGTATTACAAAAAACATCAACTTTCACGGATGAATTATAAACACGAATATTCTTATAAATAAATTAATTAATTAAATAAAATAAAGATAAGAAAATAAATGAAACGAAATTTTAAAACATTTAGCAACACTTTGATTTTTTACATATATCGAAGGAAACCTTAACGAGATCTTCATTATTTTCAATTCGCGGATCCTACCATGTAGCTTTGTCTTTTTCAATAGCTTTTTTTAAATATAGATTTTAATTATTACTCCAAAGGGGCATTGTCTCTGAAGAACTATTGCTTTCGTTTTGCGATTTTGTGTTGAATCACTATAAATGTCCATTTCACTTTTCAAACTGTTGCCACCAAATGTTAGAGTCTTGCATTATATTTGAAGAAATTAAATAATGAAAAATCTCCATAAATGTATGTACATTTCTCGCATTGTGATAAAACAACGGTACATAGAGCCATCGAATTTTGAATGACATAATCTTCCTACGAATATGGGCATGCGGAAGACCAAATTTGAAACTTGGAATTTGTTTAATTATCGATTTCCTATTTTGTACAACTTTGAGTTTGTTACTTTGAGTTTGAGTCAAAAATTCGTTAAAGATTTAAAAGCGAGCAATGGCAACAATCTACGGGGGAAAAAAACCTTTTTATCTCCAGCGAGCGGAACTGTGTATCGGAAATTCTAAAGATAGGCTCATTTTAAAATTATTTTGCTATTGAACTGAATTTTATGGTTTAAGTGCAAACATGATATTCAATAAATAAGGGTAACACACAAAACGTTAAAAAAACGCCTCTTTGGACTTCATTTAAAATCTGAAACCTTTCAGATTTTTTTAAAATTTTGTTTTTCTTTATCTTGCATAAACCTTTCTATTGAAATGAGAATTGACTGCGAAAAAGCTTTCGATTTTTTCTCAGCTATGAAACAAGTCTTTAAAAAGAGACATGGAAAGAAAAAGCGACTTTCAGACTTTTATTAAATATTTGAAACAACTGTACCAAAGATATCATGGTTTTACTATTTATTAAATTAATGTTTTAAAAGAACAATTGAAAATTAATGTTTTAAAAGAACAATTGACAATAAAATATAATAAGGATGGAATACAAGAGAAATGCACTAGTTTGAGTTCTAGTAATTTCGTTGTGTGTTTCTCAAGCAGGCAAGATTCAATTTTAGTATTATCTTGATTTCAACATAAAGGTATATTAAGAATTAATCTGTAAAATACCTCTCTTTATTCGAGCAGACGTTTTGCCTAAATTAAAAAAAAAAATTCAGTATCACCGGTAAACTCCAAATGAAATAACACCTGAATTAGTTCACTAAACCTCAGCTGATATCTGAAGCAGTATCATGTAAACGAAATGCGGTAGCTTTAAATTTAAAAAAACACTTCCCATTGAAGAAAAGATCTCCATTAGATGATCACTTGAAACTCTCTTTTTTAATCAGCATTAAACTAAGGAAGAATTTCCTTAATTCTGAATTAAAACAACATAGTATATAGTGTTAGATTTTCGTTAAGTACTATTCCTAAGCGAAATCCTGTTTTTGTTAAGCCATCAGATTAAAATTTAAGGAAGGATGCTTTCATTTCATTTAGACTTTATATATAATTTAAACAATAGTCTAATACTCATTCAGAAAGCATATTGAAATAAATTTCGACTGTTCGAAATGTATAACTGGTTCACATCAATTTAAACACCCAGGAAAGCAGTTGGATTACCTTAATAAAAATTCGATTACACTGCATAGTGAAACTAAATAATCTCTTGAACTTTCACACAGCAGGGACAAGTGTACAGCTCCCAAATTGCACTGTTCCCATCACAGATTTCAAAGAGAGATTAAATCGTCTCTTCAGATTTATGGTGATTACAATGGGGTAAATCTGAACCACGAGCGCATCTTTAGTGGCAGCAGTGATAAAAAATCCATCCAAATATATCATTATAGTGATTCTGGGCCTTCTTCAGTGGAGGGTCATCATTCGCTGATATGTTCCACGAACAGACGGATGTGGGTCATGCATAAGGCAAAGAATTCGCCATCTTTTTATGCCATTATGCGATGCTCTTCACACTTCACTGGCTGTCCACAATGAGAGCGCGTTCCAGCCTCGATCTGTACGGCCACTTCTTGGCCGACGCTCCGGTCGTTGATTGAGATGGTGGAAGTTGATATACACCTAAGCAATGGATGATTGAAAGAGGTCCAATGAAGCAGTTCTTTGGCGCACACTAGCAGGAATAGTTACTCACTTCCGTTACGGTTAGCTTAACAACAGTGTTTATTCTTTCCTCTACGCCTAATCGGCATTATCCCTAATGGGAATAACTCATATTTCAGAACTAAGTAAATCTTAGACAGACAGAAGCATTAAAGTAATCTGTAATCCTTTGAATCTAGTCAAGCATTTACTAATAAAAGTATACAAATTAAACTTAAAACTATGAAAGGGCACTGACATAACTTTAAGCTAGAATATAATAATAACGTGTAATAGGCTAAATGTGGATAAGTTTTGAAGCTGGGTTTGTGCTTTTATAAACAAGCAACTAAAAAGCAGCTCAAATTTAATAGACAACAAATACTAGTCAAACATTCAAATTCATACCCGGGTGATAAAGTTACACTGTTGAACCAAATTCATTAAATCATTTTTCTAAAATGAAAATTTGATACTTTCGTCAATCTAATTTTGGCATTCATTCTTTAAAAAGAATGAAAATAAGAGTTACAAATTTCACTTCATACTTCTTTTATTTGCTCTCCTTTTCCTAGGTGCTTCCTCTTGCCCCGTGCTTTATTATTCCCTATTGGCATATTTAAACTGTTCCTTCAACCCTTTGCTTAGTCCCTGGAATAGCATATGTACAAATGTTAGTCCCCTGCAGCTTATTAGAGTTTAAGAGAGCTCTGAGCAGAAAAAAACCCTTTACATTGTCCCCAACTGAGGATAAATCGTTAATCTAGCATACTAACCCTCTCAAGATAAATTAAAGTTTTTTCGTAATTACGCAGGATAAAACTTACCCCAGCACAACTTTTTTAAAAGCTCATGTTTCTTTAAAAATTTCAGAAGAAATGGAATAAAAAGTCAAACCAAAATATAGTTCATATGCACATAAAAAATATTAGCCAATTTTATGTTAAAAGAGAATGAGTGAAATTTATTCATAGTATTGTCCAAACTCCATTCTACACTGGTAGCCCTTACACAACATTTACACACAATTGCAACACCAGGAAGGAATGATCTGATGAATGTCAAAATCACATGAAAAGAAGAGGTTGGGATGTGCAAATGTTTAGTATTTCAGCGTATTTAGATGACACAGGAGGAAGAAAAGACATCTGAAGCGCTGCATAAAAGAAAATTTATGCAGTGTTGTCCAAACTCCATTCTACACTGGT